TTATTTATTTACTTTTGACTGTGCTGGTTCTTCGTTACTATGCACAGGCTTTCTCTGGTTGCGGTGAATGGGAGCTACTCTCTTGCAGCAGTCAGCGGGCTTCTCCTTGCTCTGGCTTCTCTTGTGGAGCATGGGCTCCAGGGCGTGCAGGCTTCAGTAGCTGCAACGCGTGGGCTCAGGAGTTGTGGCCCCCGGACTCTAGAGCACAGGCTCAGTAGCTGTGGCACAGGGGCTCAGCTGCTCCTCGGCATGTGGGATCTTCCCTAACCAGGGACCGAACCCATGCCCCCTGCATTGGCAAGCGGATTCTTTACCTGTGAGCTACCAGGGAAGTCCCTCAACACACCTCTTTTACCAGCACTTCCAAAATCATTACAGGATCCCCAAGACACAGTCCCAGAGGCCCCACTAATGAGGCTCTAAGGAAGGAAGTCCCACATTCTTGAGGACTCATTAGGAACCTGGATTTGAAGAAAGCTTCTCCCTCTTCCTCTCTGCTGGGGCTTCCTCCACATCCCCAGGTCCAAAGCAAGTCTGGAACTTAGCTGCTCTCTGCTCATAGACCCTGCCTGGGGCTGACATCTGAGAAAGAAAACTGCTCCCTCAGGAAACCCATATCTAGTCTCAATTACACCTCTAACATCCTGGGTGACTTGGAGAATATGGACAAGTCCTGCAGACCTCAGCAACCCCATCATTAGTGGACTATATATCACCTGACTTAATGACCTGCCATAAAGCCAAGGCTAGAGATAACCTATTTTTTTAAGGAAAGTTTAAATATGAGAAGGTATGAGGCATTGCTGCTATATTTATGAAGAGCTTGAGTTGTTTATAAAACAACTTGTCTCTCTCCCCCATTTGTCTCTGCTTTCCTGAGAGGGCTCATTTCTGAGGCAACCAGGGGATGATACCATAGAGAAGACAGTCTTATGATTTCCCTCATATCCTTATACAAAGCCCCTTCCTGGATTTGGGGTGGATAACTGGGTCTGCAGAGTGCCTCATCGTCTCCTGAAAACACTTTTTGGTGTCTATGCCTGTGCCAGGTGAGTACTCATAGGTCCTTCCTCTGCTCTTACAAAACAGAAATGGGGCTTCTGCTGCCATCAGCTCAAACCTGACTTTACATTTGGTGCAACTGATGCCCCTGAAGTGGGGAGCCTTTTTAGAAGATCTGAGACTGTAACCCAAAGATCCTGGCTCCTTTTCTGGGCCCTTTTGTCCGTGTCTCCTTCTCTTGGATGAATCCCGCTGTCTGCAACACTTGTGCTGTGCTATGCTTAGTCACTCAGTGGTGTCCTTCTCTTTGTGACCCCAAAGATTATAGTCTGCCAGGCTCCCCTGTCCACGGGGATTCTCCAGGCAAGAATAGTGGAGTAGGTTGCCATTTCCTCCTCCAGGTGATCTTCCTAACCCAGGGATCAAGCCCAGGTCTCCCGCATTGCAGGAAGATTCTTTACCATCTGAGCCACCAGGCAAGCCCAAGAAAACTGGAACAGGTAGCCTATCCCTTCTCTAGGGGATTTTCCCAACCCAGGAATCCAACTGGTTGGATTCCTGCATTGCAGGCAGATTCTTTACCAGCTGAGCTACCATGGAAGCCCCTGCAACTCTTAGGAGTAAGTATTAAGGGGATTCACTGAGTCGTTTGCTGCCCAGGACCCACTTCATCGGTAGCTAGAAACTTGACCCCAGTCAGAACTGCTTCATCACTGGAATCTTGGAGGGGTTGGGTGGAATTCCAGAGTAGGAGGTTGTCATGGCTCAGTAGGGAGAAACTGAGGCTCATTATGAAGCCCTGAGAGTGGTAATCCTCAGTGATGGGCATGATACCCATCAGGCACTCTAATGTCTCTGGAAGATCTGAGTTCATCCCAGAATCCCACAGAGTTGAAACAAGCTGCATCTCCAGCCAGCTGAGGGTTGGCAGCAGCTGTTCTGTTGCTCTTCTACCCCTGGCCATAACTTGCTTGTCTGTAAGGTACACTGCTCCTAAGTGCCTAGTTGAGTGGTTTACATGACAAGAAACATGTCAAGATAGATTTCTATCTGCTTGTCCCATCAAAACCAAAGAAATCAGTAGTCCTTGCACACGCACTTGGCCCTGGAATTCCTTAAACTATACTAGACTAGTCCATAAAATTCTGGCCTGGAGAATCCCATGGACAGAGGAGCCTGGCGGGCTGCAGTCCATGGGGTCGCAATGAGTCGGACACATCTGAGCGACTAAGCACACACACACACAAAATTCTAGCCCAGATTCCAATACAACCAGAGAGTCTTCCATGACAACTCTAGCTCAAACTGATATTTTCTTTCTCTGAAATCCTATGAACACTTGACTCATCCATTTATTTATTTAAAAATATTGAGTATCTGCCATAAAGGAAGTACTTTATGTGTTGTGTTTAAGTACTGTTACTGCAAAACTGAGTCAAACATGTATTAATATTTTTGTCCTCAAGTAGCTTACAGAGAAGTAGGGGAGACATACTCTATAGGAAAATGACTTAGCTAGAAGGGAAACTGTAATAAGTTCAATAAAATAATGTGTAGTGGACGTTTAGAAGAGACAGAGCTCCTATTGAGATGGAGAAGTTTCCAAGGATTTATTCAGAAGTCAGCATTGCAGTCAACTCTTGAAATACCTGGGCATGTGGAGTTGGAAGGAAGTCATCACCAGTACAGAAAACAGGATGAGAAAGAGGTTAGAAAATCACAGGTTTACAATCAATGTTTGGGTCAAAACGGACTCCAAAGCGAAAACAGAGAGCAGGTCATTGCTCCTTAATATAATATATGAAAAGAACTCCTCTCCATCCAGTGATTTGCCTTTTTGTATTTATCAACTATCAATGTCATCAATGATGATCAGGCCTGAAGATGATCCCCATATCTCACCGATCGTATATTCTCAGAATTTTAAGGATATCTTAGAGATCACTGTTTCCAATTTTCACCTGAGCTCAGGCTCTCATCACCCTTTCCTTTTTTTTTTTTTTTTCCACCTTTTCCTTTCTGTTCTTACTTCCCAGCCTCTGATCCAGTGCATTCTATGCAGGGAAAAAATGTTACTCTTAGTGAAGCCATGGCTCTGCTTATTCCATGGGCAATAGAGAGACATGGATTTTTTTTAATCAAGAGTTTATTATAATATCTGAAAGACTTAGCTCAATCTGGTTCTCTATTATGCACCTGCATATTAGGTACAGTATTCTTCCTTGGGGAATCCCATGGACAGAGGAGCCTGGCGGGCTACAATCCAAGGTCACAAAGAGTCAGACGCTGAAGAACATGCACACATGCCATTAGAGCTACTGGTCAGTCTACCATGCCTAAAACAAGGGTAGGTGGATGATGGGTGGTTTTGCTGTGCAGAAAACTAATTGCATCTCAGTTCAGTTCAGTTCAGTTGCTCAGTCGTGGCCGACTCTTTGCGACCCCATGAATCAGCATGCCAGGCCTCCCTGTCCATCACCAACTCCNACCTTTTCCAGTCCTGTGGCCACTGCTGAGTTTTCCAAATTTGCTGGTATATTGAGAGCAGCACTTTCAGAGCATCATCTTTCAGAATTGAAATAGCTCAACTGGAATTTCATCACCTCCACTAGCTTTGTTCGTAGTGATGCTTCCTAAGGCCCACTTGACTTCACATTCCAGGATGTCTGGCTCTAGGTGAGTGATCACACCACTGCAGTTATCCAGGTCATGAAGACCTTTTTTGTGCAGTTCTTCTGTGTATTCTTGCCACCTCTTCTTAATATCTTCTGCTTCTGTTAGGTCCCTACCATTTCTGTCCTTTATTGAGCCCATATAGTAGCAACCAATTCACAGGTGATGCTTAAAATTTTGGTTCCAGAGGCAAGTAGCAGATACTATGAAAAGAATAAATTATTTTAAAATAAGCCATTATTCAGTCTCATGTAAGGGCTTAGTTATCAACAATAATACTAGCAATTTATTGACATAAAGATTTTAAATTTTACTCTTCAGACTATGTCCCCACCTTGACGAAAGGCCTGGAGTACCTGATAGCCACAGTCATGGGTATCTTCTTTCTGACTCTTGCCATACCTTGGCTTAATTGTCAATATTTCTAAAAGTCTTGGAACCTAGGCTGTGTTTGCAAATGCTTTCTAGATATTTCTCTGCAAATACCATTAATTTTTCTATTTTGAAATCTGTTTATTGGTTTGGGCTGATCCCTCAGAGTAAACTGGGGAAATTCCATTTTAGTCTCACTGTATTCAAAGAGGAAGTTTGCTTTTATTTGAATTTATTTCCCCAAGTATTCTAACATTTTTCAGCTGGGAGAAGATGGGAGGGACAAAGTTCTGGTGGTTTGGGGCATATCAGCCAAGAGCAGGGTAAAGACATGGAGGGATGAAGGAAGTCAGTGAGTGAGGTGTAAGTGACCCTGGGGAGCGGGAAAACCATCACCCGGACAGCTAGGAACTTACCATGGGGCTTTGATCATATATGGTTTAAAATATTCATGTTGAATAAGTACATTAAGTAGACTGAAACTTCTACTCCTGTGACATTTCTTTACAGAGAGTCATGCAGCCTGAAGCTAGAACCAACAGGACAGCTGTAACTGAATTCATTTTACTGGGCTTAGTGGAAACAGAAAATCTACAGCCTATGGTCTTTGTACTCTTCCTCTTTGCATACTTGGTCACTGTCGGGGGAAACCTCAGCATCCTGACAGCCATCTTGGTGGAACCCAAACTCCACACCCCCATGTACTTCTTCCTGGGGAACCTATCAGTGCTGGACATTGGGTGCATCACCGTCACTGTTCCTGCCATGTTGGATCATCTCCTGTCCCACAAGCACACAATTCCCTATGCAGCCTGCCTCTCCCAGCTCTTCTTCTTCCACCTACTGGCTGGGATGGACTGCTTCCTGTTGACAGCCATGGCCTATGATCGATTCTTGGCCATCTGCCGACCCCTCACCTACAGCACCCGCATGAGCCAGACGGTCCAGAGGATACTGGTGGCTGTGTCCTGGGCTTGTGCCATCACCAATGCACTGACCCACACTATTGCCCTAACCACCCTTAACTTCTGTGGTCCCAACGAGGTCAATCACTTCTACTGTGACCTCCCACAGCTCTTCCAGCTCTCCTGCTCCAGCACCCAGCTCAATGAGCTGCTGCTCTTTGGCGTGGGCTTCATAATGGCAGGTACACCGGTGGTTCTCATCATCATTTCTTATATCAATGTGGCAGCTGCAGTTCTACAAATCCGCTCAGTGGAGGGCAGGAAGAAAGCCTTCTCCACATGTGGCTCCCACCTCACTGTGGTCTGCCTCTTCTATGGGACCGGTATCTTCAACTACATGCGCCTGGGTTCAGAGGAGGCTTCAGACAAGGATAAGGGAGTTGGAGTTTTCAACACAGTTATCAATCCCATGCTGAACCCACTTATCTACAGCCTTAGAAACCCTGATGTTCAGGGTGCCCTGTGGCGGGTACTTGTAGGGAGGCGGTCACTGACATGAGGGGTGGTAGGGTCCCTCCTTTCCTGCCTTTTCTAGGTTGGGGGAAATTTCCCATTAGGGCACTATCCTGGAAAAATATTTCATAACCGTTTTCCTAGCTCTGTTGCCTGATGATTTGTGTTGTGTGCTTGTTCTGCAAAGAAACCCTACAGAATTCATTCATTTATTTATACAATAGGTATTTGTTGAATTCTTCTGTCACCTAGACACTCTTCTAGGGCACTGATGAACAAAGTAGAAGTCTGAGCACTAAACGCAACTCATATTCTAATGAAGGGAGACAACATTCATCAAGTATAAACAAGCATCCTATATGGTAGATCACATAGTGATATGTGCAGTAGAGAAAAAACAAACACAATAGGGGGATATGAAGTTAGTGAAAGTTTGCAGGGCAAGCAGCTACCTTGCTTTTGGCTGTGCTCACTTTCCATGTAGAGTTGAGGATCTGGCAGTCTGGTAGGTCTTGGGTAGAAATGTCCTACAGGGAAGGGTTAATTGGTTAACCACAGCCTAAGTAACCAATAATATCAAGTTTTCTTCTGGTGGGGATGTGAGATTCCCTCTAGATCAGGGTGCAGAATGGTGTCCTAAATTGAGGGCTCAGTGCCAAGGATTATTCTACTTTATTATTTGCCTTTTGCCTCTCAGAAAATCACTTCCTTATTTTCACAACCACACAGGAATCCCAGAGTATATCTAGAGCACAGGTTGGGTCTAGAAAAAGAATGAGCCCACTAAATAAAAACTATATTAAAGCATCCATGATATAGCTCAAGATCAAAACAGGAACATTTCTATCTCCATCCTCTACCATCTTTCTTATTTAATGTCTTCTTCCTCATATAAATGATAAAGTCTTTGAAAGAGGCATTTTTACTATGATTTCCTTAAAATTTTCCATGTAGAATATCCAAAATAACATTCTCAAAAGTCTTACTTTTCTCTCCCAAACCTCCTAGCTCAAAAAATATCCATAAATGTAGTCCCTAGGAGTGACACCTCTAACTTTTTCTTAATGCATCAGTACAGCTCTAACCTAGAGAATTTCCTCATCTTGATGTTCATGCAGCATTCAGTTCATCCATTATTGATTTGTAACCTTTTTTCATCCTCCTTGGAAAGGCTGCTTACCCTGTCCTGGTAATTCTGATGTTTCTCGACTCTGTCACTTCCAAAACTGTCCATGGCTACACCTGGAGCTTGTCTTCTTTGTAATCTCTTTTGGAGTCAAGAAACTGAAAGGACAGGCTGAGAAAAAGATGGGAAGAAAAGGCATGAGAGTGAGAAGTAAGAAAGGCTTAGGAATGGAGGACTGAAGATGAAAATGAGGATATGTGGAGGGATGGGACAGGATGGTGAGCAAAAGAAGTAAGAAGGAAAAATGGAAATTAGGAAAAGAACATGAGAGGATGTGAGATGAGAAAGGATGAGAGAATTAAGGGTTTCAAACTAGATGCCTAAGGAATGCTGATGAGGTCAAGGAAGGGTATAGAGAAAATGAAGATTGAATAGGAGGGGAGATGAGAATAAAAGTCATCTACAGAATCACTTCCTATTAGCATATGGCCATGGAATAACTAGCACCTTTGATGTTACTGTTGGGCCCCACCCTTCCAAAAGTTTAAGTTTTGATGAAGGTGTAATGATACAAGGCAGTTTAGGTATTCCTCTTCTGCTTCCTCTGGCTAGGAGATGTCCTAGAAGGACAGAGGGTAGGACTGAGAGATGGAGAAGAGCGAGGGAAGATGTGTGCTCTGAGGGTTCATCCTCCATAACCCCACTGGGCCATCAAAGTCATCAGCCTCCCTGCTTTTGGGTGCAGCTCCTGGTGATACAGTCTAAGGAACACAGATGAAATCAGTCTCTTTCCTGATACTCTTGAGTCTCCAGACACTTTGGCATTTAAGAGAATGAGCTTCTCTCAAAGGGAAACATTCTTGAGAATGACAACCATGAGTGTGGGCTGTAACCACTGCTCTGTGACCTTAGAAAGTGCTTCTCTATGGCTGGACTTGTTTCTAGCTATACCATAAAGGACTGGAATGAGATCATCTCTACAGGGTTCTCCATATTAAATGACCTTTGATATAATTTTCTAGGTGAACTTTTTCCTGAGGATGAACCCAGAAAACATTCTGAGAGCTTTACCACCACCACTTCCACCACTCTGTCTACCCCGTGAGCACTTAGCACTAATTTGTACATCCACTAAGTTATGACAGTGTCTGTTTACCACTTCCCTTTCATAAAGGGTTGCTATAAAGAAATATCTTTAAGTTTTACAAACTGAAGGTTGAGAAATGGCAGAATTTTTATTTGGATCTTTAATTCCAGTTAAAACTGTAGTTGGATATCGTCTCACATACTAAGCGGCCAGTTGTATTTCTTCTTTTAGAAGTGCATTTTGACAGCTTTTGCCCTCTTTTCCACTGGATTGTTTGTTAGGAAATCATAACTGGCCAACCTTCACAAACAATGAAACTCAGCTTTGAATCAGGTCAGGTCCAGACTGAACAAAAGTGATCTAATCTTAGTGCCTAATAGATGCAAAAATAAATAATTTTTGGAGAAAGAGGATATCATCCAGAGCCATGCAACAGAAACTTAATCTGAGCCATATACATAATTTTAAATTTTCTAGAAACCTCATGGGGACAAGACTGTATCTGAGTCTGTAGCAGGGACCATTTTAAAGCAAAAATAAGCAAGGGAAATTAATTTAAATGATATATTTTCTCTTATTCATATATCTAAAACATTATTAACTCAAATATAATCAATATTATGAAATTATAAATGAGATATTCTACATTCTTATTTTTCATACTGTCCTTAGAATCTGTATATTTTAAACTTACAGAACTTCTCAATATGGATGCTAAATTTCATCGAAAATACTTGACCTGAGTCCTCTCGCAAGGCTATGATCAAGCCATCAGCCAGTGGTATAACTGTCTCCAAGCCTGACTGAGGAAGGGAAAGCTTTCACATTCATTCACGTGGTCACTGGTAGGACTCAGTTCCTTGCAGGTTAGGGGGTTAAGGGCCTCAGGACCTCACTGGCCTGAGGTTGGAGGCTGCCTTCAGCTCCTTGACCCTAGGGCCTCTTAAAATGTGGTGCCTTCCTTCCTCAAAGTGAGAAAAGAACCATATAGAAAGACTGAGAAANTTTCATAAAGTGTTGTTATAAAGAAATATCTTTAAGTTTTACAAACTGAAGGTTGAGAAATGGCAGTATTTTTATTTGGATTTTTAATTCCAGTTAAAACTGCAGTTGGATATCTTCTCACATATTAAGTGGCCAGTTGTATTTCTTCTTTTAGAAGTGCATTTTGACAGCTTTTGCCCTCTTTTCCCCTGGATTGTTTGTTAGGAAATCATAACTGGCCAACCTTCACAAACAGTGAAACTCAACTTTGAGTTTCAAGGTTGGGATCCCTGGGTTGGGAAGATCTGGAGATGGGAAAGGCCACCCACTCCAGTATTCTGGCTTAGAGAATTCCATGGACTATATAGTCTATGGGGTCGCAAAGAGCTGGACACAACTGAGCGACTTTCACTTCACTTCATGCAGACAAAAGTGGGCTTCCCAGGTGGTAAAGAATCCACCTGCCAGTGCAAGAGACACAGGAGATGTGGGTTCAGTCCCTGGGTCAGGTCAGGTCCAGACTGAACAAAAGTGATCTAATCTTAGTGCCTAATAGATGCAAAAATAAATAACTTTTGGAGGAAGAGGATATCACCCAGAGCCACGCAACAGAAACTTAATCTGAGCCATATATATATAATTTTAAATTTTCTAAAAGCCTCATGGGGACAAGACTATTTCTTAGTCTGTAGCAGGGACCATTTTAAAGCAAAAATAAGTAAGTGAAATTAATTTAAAAGATATATTTTCTCATTCATATGTCTAAAACATTATTATCTCAACATATAATCAATATTATGAAATTATAAATGAGATATTCTACATTCTTATTTTTCATACTGTCCTTAGAATCGTGTATATTTTAAACTTACAGAACTTCTCAATATGGATGCTNGACCTTGCAGCTTTCATAGAGGGAAAAGGGAAGTTAAGAGGGCCGTGGTCAACAAAGGACCTCTGGATTTTCATGGGATGAGTCCTTGCCAGGAAAGAAGAGGAGTCTTTCTTCCTCCAGACTGGCTCCGCTACAGTCACAGGGTGTGAGAGCTTGGCTCTCTGCTGCAAACGCAAATACTCCCCCCATACCACTCACCCTGTGATCTTGCCTTGCCTTGCTCTACTCACTTTTCCTAGTAATTCATCCACGTGCCTTAATTCTTAGCTCAGCTTTTACCATCTCAAGGAAGCTCTCCCTGAATTCCCCATCACTAACAAGCCAGGCGAATCTTCCTCCTCTGTCTCCCCAACCCTCATGCCCAGAGCATAACCACTGCCTTCAGACACAGAATTACGGTAGCCTCCCTCCTTGGTCCTTTACGAGCTCCTGATTCATGTCTGTAAAACAGTCTAAGCCACTAACAGGCATTCAGTCATTATCAGTGGAACAAACTGCACTTCAGATCAATTCAACTCTCCCTGTCTCTCAAAGTCTAGGTCAGTGCTGGCTCTGCTGATTCATCTGTAAAGGACTGCTCCCTCTTTCACACTGCCGGAGCCCAGGGACTCATCTTCTCATCAGTAACCTCTCCTTTTTTATCCATTGCACTTGACACTAGGCTGGTGGAACCTAAGTAGGGATAGAGTCTCACAGTTACCTCCTCCAGTTCTGCTTCCACCACCAATCCTGTCCCTGAGCATGTGTTGATCATGCTTGAACATTTTGCTTTGAGTGCAGGGTAGAGTGTTTGCAAGCAGGAGAGGTGGGACCATGGAGTGAGGAGCTGGCATAACCCAAGATTGAGTGGGCTGCTCAGGGATGAGGTCTTTCCATAGGGAAAAGGAAAACAGGAGAAAGCCACAGTCAGTATTGCTTTGAGGTCTGAGAGAGCAACACTCATGTGGTTGACGAGGGTGTGGATGAGGCCACAGAGGACAGAGAGCACCCAACACAAGATGAGGAGTGAAACGCAGAGCCCAGGG